AGGGCCATAACCTTCAATATCAATGCCAATATGCTTATAAAAGTGGCTTGTAGGGTAAAGCAGCGTGTCACGATTTATGAGGTTAATAATCAGTCTGCTAAAGCTAATAATGATAAAAGCTAATGATTACTAACTGTAGTTTGAAAATGTAACAGTAACCAATGCTGAGGATCTGATCTGAAAATGATCTAAAATATCAATTTCACTATTATATACTTGGATATGCCTTGCCTGAGCCTCTCTGAACAGACTCTGCTAGTGAACTCTGTCTCTGTTTCAGGGCTTTGGATCAAGCAGCAAACATCAGGGCTGAAAAATGAAGCCAACATCAAAGTACCAAAAACTGCAGTTCATTGAATGGCCGTCTGAGGCTTTTTAAAAAACTTTTTTGTAACTCACACATTAACATTTTATAAAGGCTTAGAATTACGTTTAGTCAAGGGTGAGCTGTTTTGAGCAACACACTGTTCTGCTGATAGTGTCCTCAACTTCTCAGTCAGTATGTTTACATGCACAGTTAAGTTGAGCTATGGCTATAGCTCGACTACGCCATTTAACTGGACTATTGTTCTTGTCCCAGTATACCAGCATGGTAGGTGAATCGATGTATTGAACGAACTATGTTCAACTCTGCTACAGTAGTTGGAGATATGCCCCCTTTCAGCATGTTAGTATTGGACCTTCTTCTGGTTGACCTATTGCGTCAAAGACCAAACAATCGACAGCTAGGGGCAAACTGGTACTATGGTGGACAAATTTACAGCTCTGTACATTTCATCCTCCCAAAAAATGCACAGTTCTGGATGTAGATTTCACCATGTTGTTACCAGTTCTTCGTCTGTTACGCCTTAAATGCTTTCGGCTTCCAGGTCAAAGCCCGGCACTGTGGAGCATGTGCTGAGCACCTCAGCCAATTTGGGTCCAAATGACTGTATACATGTAGTCAATCCCAATCACATCATCTGGGTATGTTAGTCCGACTCTAAGAAATTCTGTTTAGTACGTTTTCAGTCAGACTTAAAGTCCGGTTTTAGTCGGTCTAACACAATAAATCAATTTTTTTCTAATGTCATGTAAATGTACGGAGTCAGTTCCACCCCTCACTCCTCCTCAGCGCCAGCCTCTTGCCCAAATATGGTCACTGTGGCTCAAAAATAACAAGATGGTGATGGCCAAAATGCCAAACTCGAGGCTTCAAAACGGGAGTCCACAAACCTATTGGTGATGTTATGATAGCGACGACTATTAGTTGCACAGTCTGTGGTCTGGTTGCTCAGTAGCAGGACATTAGAGTAAAAGAGTTCATCTTTCAAGGCTCACTATGTTTCACTGATGAAAACAGTAACACAGGGAGCACTAAAAAAGGAAAATCTTTGGATATTGCAACATACACTAGTACCCCTCTGACACTTGAAGAAAACAACATTTGGGTGATCCTGCCACTGTCAAACAAAGCCCAGATAGTTAAGCATTGGGATCTATGGTAACCTATAGTAACTTTTATCGTCATTGTGAAGTTTTTCATCTGGACACAGGCTGTTAGATTCTTTGAAGTCATATTTTAGCTCAAAGTATTAACTAAATCAATTACACGGCCTGCCCCTTTATAATTACAGGGAACCAGGAAATGTCATCATACATTTTAATAAGATCAAAAAGGTAATCAGAGTACTTAAACTTTACCTGCTGGGATGTTTGTGTTGTCTGTGGATAATAACGGTCGGGGAAAGTCTCCCTTTAGGCGTGCAGTTTCATTTCTTGGGAATGACACATGATCCCTCTCTTCCTCCTCCTCCTCTTCCTGGAAAAAGTTAGTAAAGCTGACTTTAACAGCATTGCGCTCTCCCCTCAGACTTTTTTCCAGAAATATTCGGTCACAACAAACAGCCAGCAATACCACTGCCAGCTCCAAGCCTCATTTCTTTGAGCTACCGTGAGGTATTGTAAATGAAGACGACATCTTAAACAATTACATGTTTGAAAAACAAAATTGTAGGTCTAATTCTGAAAATGTTTAAACCAAGATTATTCCAATATGAAAGCAGGAAATCCTCTGCAGTGTGTGCACAAACAAAGCAGGCAGGAAAACAGGCAAAACAATAAGCATGTCCTTATTACCTTAGCTAATACCATCCCACTATAATGTTAAAACTCATCTGTGCCAATTTACTTTATTTACAGGGATGTACACTGGCCCTCCCTAATCCATGTTAACCATTTTTATGCCAGTCGGCTGCTTTTTCAGAACTGATCAGCTCCCAGAGATCCATCAGGTCTTGACTTTGTTCTTCCTGTGGTCTGTCTGTGTGTGGAAAATTACATCAAAACTAATATCACAGGGCAGAGACAAAGTGCAGATAGATCAAGGGCATATATGAAAGAAAACTAACTACCTAATCTATAACTATAAAGTAGATGAGCATGTTGTTATAGATCTCCGACTTTACTGTGATGAGGCAAGCAAAAAAACGTCCTTCATATGATTGAGTCATGATAATTATTGTATTACTTGCATTTCATTTGTTGATTTGACCAGTTTATATATGAAGCTGTTGAGGGATGCTTTTGTGATCCTGACCTCTCTTGAACACTAGATGCCTCTGTTACCTAATGAAAGTGAGGAAAAGGAGGGTATACAGTTAAGTAGAAGGGCTGTTTTAAACACATTACATTTTACCATAGATGTAGTGTTCCTAGCATTCAGAGGCAGATGTGTTACCCTTTAGAAAAGTGTATTTTACACTAATTACTTTATTATTTATAAGCCATAAAGCAATGTAATCAAAAATAAATTAGTACTAACATATGGGATGGGATGGGATGGGATGGGATGGGATGGGAGGGGCGGCACGGTGGTTAGCACTATTGCCTCACAGCAAGAGGGTTCCTGGTTCGATCCCGGGTGTGGGAGCCCTTCTGTGCGGAGTTTGCATGTTCTTCCCGTGCCAGCCTGGGTTTTCTCTGGACATGCAGATTGGGGACAGGTTAATTGGTGACTCTAAATTATCCGTGAATGTGATTGTGAATGGTTGTCTGTCTCTATGTGTCAGCCCTGTGATACTCTGGCGACCTGTCAGCTGGGATAGGCTCCAGCTCCCCTGCGACCCCCAAGAGGATAAGCGGTTAGAAAATGGATGGATGGATGTGGGATGGGTAGATAGGCCAAGAATGAAGGCAAAACGTCCCCTGTATGTATGCTTGGTTTGAGCTATAATGAGCATGTCTGTGTGGTAGTGCATAGTCTGAAGTAGTTGAGGACTGAGGCGATGAAGACTATAATGGCTGTTATGTTGGGCAGGTAATCCATACGTCTCTGCAGGGGGGAGTTAATCAGGCCCCAACGCCCTGTGACTTACACACACATTCTTGTTTTTATCAGCTGTGGGGCCCACAGGCATTTTGGTCACTTGTGAGGACCACCCTTTGCAGTGGTCAGACATGCCTGAAAAACTCAGGTCTGATTAAGAGTGATTGCCAAAGACAAATATAATCTAAAATGAGCAATTGAGCAATTGAAAAACACACACGCACTAGAGAAAGAGGGTTCAAAACTATGCCTGATTCTAACACACTGAGAGACATCTAGTTTGGTATGGAAGGACTAGATTTTGTTTCAGTATAAGATGCAGGATTTATATAGTTCAATGAAATACTTCTCAGGTGTCAAAATGTCATGGCCTTCAGTTATTTTTAACTACAAACCTGTATCACACTGCATTTTTATTTGATGTAATGTAATATAAAGTTCTGAAAAGCCTCCATAACCTGATCAGTGAAAACTTGTACTGGTGGCTTTTATGTATTTTTATCATGATAGAGAAAGACTGTTAGGGTCCCCTTTTCTGACTATACCAGAACACAATGCCCACGAGGCACTCAACACCCCAACAGACCTCAATGAATGTAATCTGAGGAAACAGAAAAAAACCAAAGCTCTGAAAAGGTACTTTTAAACAAATGCACTTTTATTAAGCAGCATTATACATATCAGATGCACAGTACATACAAAACAAACACCTGCTTTTTAAGCTTATTCATTAGATATGTCTTGGCCTTCCAAAAAAGCTTGCTTAAAACAATAGTGGAACCCTGTCTTCAATGGGTGTCAAATGGAGTGATCAAAACATAAAAGGAAACATGTCATTTGCACACTATTGTCTACTAAATTTTCAAGAACTCACTGATAAACAAAATTATTGATACTCAGCATAAAGCAGGTGTTCAGTAATCTTAACTGAAAAATTTCTGCATCTCCAAAGACTATGTCAGCCCAGTTGATTAACTGGTTGTTGGGACTATAAAATGATAGAAGACCTTGAAAAATGTCCATCACAATTTCAAAAAGCCCAAATTAACACAATGAAGTTGTTTGGTTTGTCCAACCACCAGTTTAAAACCAAAAGATAAGTAGTTGACGATCATATGTGCCAGAGAAAATAAGCAAATATTGAAATTTCAGAAGCTAAAAAACAGAATTTGAAGCATTTTTGCATTAAAAATGACTTAAATGATTATTCCATTATTAAAATGATTATAAAGGTCACTTATCTGTAGATTGACTAATTGATAAATGTTAAAACTATACAACAAAAACATTTCTAAAAGTGCCAAAGAAGAAATTGGGTACCTATGAAGCAATTGTCCACTCCTCATGGTTGTTTCCTCCTACAGTGAGGTCTCTAAAGAAACCGAACATTGATGTAAATATAGTATATGACTGATCTACCTTTCTACTTGATCTGAAATTAACCTCATCATCACCAGCGGTCATCTAAGTAATCTTACCTGCTTTGTTCAGTCCAATTTCTGACTAATTGCACTATGGCGAGTAAAACAAAAAGCTAAGAATAAAATCAAGGAATATATATATATATATATATATATATATATATATATATATATATTACTCTTTTAAGTTTTCAAGTTTTAGTCTTTTGTAATGTGTAATACCACTAGCATAACCTTTAGGTAGGTTCATGTACCCTGATATGTATGGCACTTTAGGTTGCCCAAGTTACTGGAGTGATTTCAAGCATGTTGTCAGAATCATCTTGGATGATTCCAAAAATAGGGTAGAGCTTTTGTCTGCCACTTAAAGATGTGCCAGCCATAGAATAAAGAAGGGCTTTTAAAACTGGTGGGGTCTCAATGAAGTCACAGCCTGTGTGGGAGTGGATCACACTCCTGTCATCCACGTCATAGAAGGAGACCTCTCCCTTCTCATAATCAACAAACACACCAACTTTCTGGAGCCTTTGCCTCACGTATGGAGATGCAGAGCAATCAGAGGTAACAAAACATGTCTCTTGGATTTGATCGTGGAATCCACCAAGTGTCCAGCCTCCGTCCCCCGGAGTGGGATAGTGAAATATCTCCCTGTTTAAGGACTCTTTGACCACTCCCAAGAGCCAGCCTTTACTCCCACTGACCTGAACCTCATAGTAGAACCTGCCTGAGGAAAAACCCTCTTTCCCAAGGTTGAAGGCATGATGCTGAAATCTTCTCCCAAAAAAAGCAGACGGTGGACCTTCATGAAATCTCAGTTGTTTCCCATCCGCAGACACCAAGAGTCTGGAATTGGCTGAGTAGGTGTCCAGAGTCACATCCATTGCATTGCACTGCTGGATCATCATCAGCTTGTCCTCAGGTGGTGACCACACTTCTTTGTCAGGCCGTTCAGCAGCCTCACAACCATCAGATAACCTGACCTCATGAATAATCATCTCTATCTTATTACTGAGCATCTTTTTCACCTGAGCACCTGCTTTTTTCACCTTCTCCACGAAGCTCTGCTGACTGATGTCAGTGAGGTCTATTGGCTTGGTGGCTTGGGTCAGAGCATCGGATACGACAGTGTGTGCAGGGGCGGAGAGAGATGGACAGCTCTGCAGGAGGCGGAGGTGGTCGTCTGTTTGTAAAAGTTGTTCCATTTCAGATCTTTTCCTCCTCAACTCAGCGACTTCTTGCTCCAGCTTTGTCAGGTGGTCTTCAGCCTCCTTCCGTGCTGCTTTCTGCTTCTCCTGGATCACCTCAATCAGCTTAGCCTGGCTTCTTTGCAGAGAGACCAGCAGAACAGTGAAAACCTCAGCAATGTCTGCTATCTCTTTCTCTGACCTTCTTTTGTTTCTTTCAAGGAAGCTTTTAATTTCCTTAATATTCCTAGATTTAATGTTTTCCATATTTTTTAACTCTGATGTCACAGAGCCCACCTGGGCTTTCCTCTCTCTGAACGCATGCTCTAATGGCACAGCGCCATGTGTTGCATGATTGTCTTTCAGGCACATGGAACAAATACACACTTGTTCTGCGTAACAGAAGAACTCAAACATCTTGTCGTGCTTCTTACACACCCTGTCCTCAAGGTTTGACACAGGATTAATCAGCTGGTGTTTTTTAAGGGTTGTGACTCTCTGATGAGGCTCCAGGTGAGTCTGGCAGTACGAGGCCAAACACACCAGGCACGTCTTCTGGGCTTTGCGCTTCGGCTCAAGGCAGATGTCACAGGGCACCTCCCCTGGTTTGGCAGGGATGTCATCTTCACCCCTCACCTTCATGTTGTTGAAATGCTCCACCATGTCTCTGAACTCCGTGTTGACCTGAAGCTGAGGTCTCTTGTGGAACTTCTTCTTACAAAGGGGACACTGGATCTGGTTACTGCTGACCCAGTACCCTGTGATACAAGACTTGCAGTAGTTGTGTCCACATGGAGTAGTGACAGGTTCATTGCATGCATCCAGACAGATTGAACACAGGAGCTGTTCTTCATATAGGAGGCTGCTGGCGGAGGCCATGTCTACATGAGAGGAAAAGGATTTGAGAATTAATTTCAATTTCAACCCCCAAAATGTGCAAATTATACATGTAACTTACATTTTTTGCCATTTCCCTGTCTAGGAGGTCAATTTTCAAGTGATACTTGTTTTGGGTGCTCAAAGTTCGTAACGCCTGCCTTTTGTAGCCAATAGCATCCAACACAGTGTGCAGGTCTGAACACGAAGGCAACATGTGTAGCAGCATGACAAGTTGGATTTAAAGGTTTGTCACCAAAACACCTGTGCATATTGTGTTGTTCGCAGTAATTTTCCAAATACTTTATGCCCACTTTTGAACGGTGTAAGAGCTGGAGAGTTAATTTTTCCAGGCTCACCAATTTTTATTGAGGATCATACAAGGAGACCTCCCTGTGGTAAATCACCAGCTGAAATGGGTGTAGTCTATTAGACTTAATTGGCACTTCATGACAATGCAGAATTTCCAGCCTGTTCTCATTCCCATGGAGTCAAATGCCACCACTTTGTCATGTCCCTGGGTGTGTGACATTGGCACCAAAGGCACCCTTTTGCACTGGGCACTTAAGTGACTTCAATGTAAACCTATCCACGGCATTACTTGATGCTGAGAGCAAATGACATAAAGAGTGAGAAAGTCTGCATACAGTGGGAGGAAGGGGAGGTGGATGCATCAAACAAAATTGGTCTTTCAGGCATGAGACCACAGTTTGTGTCCTGTGTAAAACCATAGGTCAGTGTCATTTATGATACAATGCGATATAATACGATGCAATGCAATACGATACGTGTGTATGGTACATTATACTTTATCGACCACGAAGGGGAATTCGTCTTGGACTCAGTAGCTGCACAAGTATTGCTGCCTTACAATAACAGTCTAGAAGAAATGAAAAGCAAACACCATAACAACGTAAAAATGCGTACTACACATAACAGTATTACACATCAGCCATTCATGTATTGCACATGACACCAGCACACAACAGAGCACGATAAGCAAGCACAACCAAACCCCTAATTCATCAAGTAACGTTATTTAAAATCTCAAATAATGTAACGACAATGTTACATAATCTACAAACAGTTGTCGTGCACAGTTGTCATGTTAATATGTCACGTTATGTTACGGAACAAACATACTTATTTTAACCCAAAACATGATTTGTTTTTTAGTATAGAGGTTTTTCTTTTGTCTAAAAAAAGAAAAACCTCTATACTATTTAATTGAGTAGACAAAATGAACCTAATCGAGTTATGATTTGTTATTGTCTAAACCTAACCAAAACTGTGTCACAACACACACCACTTGTTAGAGGCTGTTTCAGCTCTGTGTCACATAGATGTGCTAAAGGGTGCCCTGTGTGTTGCTACGAGACACCTGACAATTTTTGGATATTTAAGGATCTGGGAATGAGAACAAGTTTAGTGCAGAGGTCTTGGAGAAGCAGCCAATATTTGAATCTCAGAAGGATTATTCCCTTTTACAGTGACGACAGTGAAGAAGTTCGGTTCAGTTTGGTCAGTGAAACAAAAGCTTTTGGAATTGTAGCACACGCTGGCAATGTGTTACCAGGGAAATACTCCCTACAGTGACACCTGTGGAAAACAACATTTGAGCTCAACCGCGAACATGTCAACTAAATGCATTTAACATAGAAATTAGTAATAAAGTCATGAAATTTGTAATTAGCAGACCCGATTAAATACAGGAAATACCGGAGATCCTGCCACCTTCAAACACAGCCCAAATAGTTTTAGTAGTAATAGTCTGTAGTAGCCTGTATTAACCTTATCATTTTTTAAATTATGATACATTAGATCATAGTATCAGAACACTGCAACTTTACCTGCAGAGGTGTCTCTGTTGTCTGTGGAAACTGATTGAAGTGCAGGGGAGAGGTCTATTTTAGGTGTTTACCTTAATTTCTTGGGAAATAATAGTCACTGGATAGACCAGTAACTCCAGTTCTATGTGCTGTGCCCACTTACAGGCTTCCCTATTGGTTAACCCCACCAAGGCTCTGGCACGTCACACTGACACAGATCTTTCCTCTCGCTGCCCTTTGGAACTAGAAACCACACATTATAAAAGAGTACATCCACACCATTAGCCTGGAATAATTTACAGCACTTTATTTTCTGTGAAGTTGTCACACATGGAGTCATCAGCACACTATTAAAACTAATCTAAAAGAAGACAGGAGACAAGCAAGTTGGTCTTGGACTCTCACCGTACTGTGATGAAGCAGCAAAAAGAAACTTTCTCCGACTCAGCAACGTACCAAATATTCAGAACAACACTGTAATAATGATTCATGCTCTTTTTTAACTTGTGTTTTATTTGTTGATATTGTTGGCTGAAGTGAGCACCTGTTAGATGACGCTGATGTTGGACAGCATTACCACATGAGAGTGTGGAAAAGGAGGGTGTACAGTATAGTAGAAAGGTTATCCCATTCACATTACATTTACCATGTATGTATTGTGCATATAGATTTCAAAAGCAACTGTGTTACCCCTTTTTTCATTATCATTTTTAAACTTTGAGGTTATGTTACTATGAAATAAGCTAGTATTAACATATAAGTCTGGTGCAACAGTTAGATAGACATGAAATGTTAAGGTCAAGAATGAAGGCAAAAGGTCCACTGTACTGATCAGCCAAAACATTAAAACCATTGGCTGGTGAAGTGATGAATATTGATCATTTCATTAGAACGCAATGCTTTGTTGGGAAACCTTGGGTCCTGGCACTCATGTGGATGCCACCTGACATGCTCCTCCCACCCCACAGCAGGACACCCACCCCAAGAACTGCTCAGGAATGGCCTGACGAATGTGACAAAGAACTCAAGGTGTTGACCTGGCCCCCAAATTCCCTAGATCCCAGTGTGATCAAGCATCTACTGGACGTGCAGGTACCTCAGTGGCACACCCAATCCATGGTTGGGCCTCCTTGATTCGGACTTGGTCCTCACCTCTTGAGGCATGGACACAGGACCTCTGGGGTGTCCTGTGGTGGATCCTTTGAGTCCTGTGGGTTATGACGTGGGGTACCAGCACGTCCCTTGGATGCCCGATCAGATTGGGATTTTGGAATTTTGAGGCCAGCTTGATGCCTTGAGCTCTTTGTCACGTTCCTCCAGCCATTCCTGGACAGTTTTTGCAGTGTGGCATGGTGCACTGTCCTGGCTGGAGGACTACCTGCCATCAGGGAGCGCCATTGCCATGTGGGTGGGTACCTGGTCTGCAATGATGTTTGGATGGGTGGAGCATGTCAGGTGGCATTTACATGAGTGCCCAGACTCAAGGTTTCCCAGCAGAAAAGTGCACTGAAACAAAATGACCAATATTATCCACTTCACCAGCCAGTGGTTTTAATGTTTTGGCTGATGCGTGCATTTTGTGAGCTATGGTGAGAGTGTCTGTGTGGTAGTGCAGTCTAAATGTGCAATAATAAGCAGAAGTGTGTGCATGTCAGTGAATGCGCATCATAAGCCATGGAAAGTGTCCAGTGCGCTGCATGCCGAAGGTGCTGATGAAGAAGTTGAGGACTGTGGTGACGAAGACTATGATGGTCGTTACGTTGTTCAGGTAATCCAGACGTTTCTGCAGGGTGGAGTTATTCAGGTCTCGACGGCCTGTGGCACACACACATACACAAACACACAGAATAGAGAAAGAGAGGGTTCAAGCTACACTTGGCTCTGACACTGCGAGAGACTTCTAATTTGGCCTGGATGCACGACATATAAATGGACAAGCTTAACTTGTCTCCACACACTATCGCCTGAGATATCATTATCGTGTGCACCCTGTCTGTTTGCATTCACTTTATTTTACTCCAGCTGACCATTACCAGACATGTATCAACCAATCTTCAGCAAAAACCACAACAAACAAAGCACAGGCTTCTGTTAAATCACTACATTTATTCAGCTTTCTGAAGGAGAGGGTGTACGTACATATTAAAGGCATGTCTTTTATTTATATTACCCTGATTTTTGTCTGGTACTGAACCTCAAATTTCAATTTCAAACAAGTTTTTTAAAATAAATCATATTTTCAAAAAGACAGTTTTCATCATTTTACCGATTTCCAAACAAGGGGGAAACACACGTAAAATGTAAAACAGTTTGAAATACATGTAATGGAACACAAACACAATTTTGCACAAGCAGGTTATTTTAAGCAAATCAAATAATGCATATTTACAAAGATATTCAGTTGGTTAAGGTGAAAATATTTTAGTTGGATTACAGAGTGAACCACATTTTTAAAAGCCTGAATAATAAATAAGATTTGATGTTTGAACATATGCAAACTGTATGTGAATTGTCAGCAGTGAATTTCAACTTTGAATCAACATGTTTATGTGTGTGTACAGAGGAAATACATTGAGTATGAATGTGATGTGCGTGTGTCAGAAGTGGAGTCGAGCGAGCAGCCAGCGGAAGAAGCCAGTCCTCTTGGATCCGAAGAAGCTGATGAAGAAGTTAATCACCGTGGTGACGAAGATGACGCCTGTAGCAAGGTTGTTCAGGTAGTCGAGTCGTTTCTGATTGGACACCACATTCAGGTCCCTGCGGGCTACAACACACACACAAACACACACAGACAGACACACATACACACAGTTTCAAACATTTCAAACACCCATACACACCCATACATTTGATGCATGCATATTCACACACACTCACATTATTCCATACAGGCACACTATAATGCATCCATACATGCAGCAATAGAGTTCAGTCACTCACCCCCCAGCCTCTGTCTCATTTACACGACAATTTGGCCCGACTATGGTAACAAAGCTGATGTTTGTGTTGTGCTTTGGGGTGTAGTAAATGCTTTCTCGCTGAGACTTAGACAAGAAGATAAGATACCACTCTCATATCTGTACTGTAAAAGTGGAGATGAAGACAGCAGCTGGTTGGCTCACCTTAAGCTTTTATCCAGAACCAAGAGACTTGATCACACCACTCCAGTTTTAGCCTCTTTACACTGGCTCCCAGTGTGTTTAAGAATAGATTTTAAGATTTTACTGGTTACTATTAAGGCTCTCCATGGTCTCTCTCCCAGCTATATCTCTGACCTCTTAGTGCCGCACACGCCAGGACATACTTTGAGGTCCTAGGGCAGAGGTCTTTTGTCTGTTCCAGGGGTCCAGCTGAAAACTGGCCCCGAGGCTCAGGTCTTCCAAGTCAGCGATCTCTTTTAAGTCCCTTCTTAAAACATACTTTTATCGGAGAGCCTTTTCTGATTTTACTTGAGTTTTAAGATCATTAAACTGTCTTTTATTTCCTCAGTTTTTATACACCAAAGTGTTTTTATTAGTTCCTTTAAAAGTTGTTGCTTTCATGTCTCGTCTGTTCTAATTACTGACATGTAAAGCACTTTGTAACTCTGCTTTGAAAAGTGCTTTATAAATATAGATAATAATTATTATTATAATTACAATCAATTAGAGAGCTTTAGAGTGCTTATAGGTGGATTTTGACTCCTTTGGACATTGGACAGAGTCTGTCCTTGTGCTAAGCTAAGCCAAGCAGCATCTGGCGATAGCTTCATATTTACCCCACAGACATAATAGTGCATGTTTGCCTCCACATGAAACCTTATAGGAATAAGTCACCACAAATGACCATTTGAATAACAGTTACTCACCACGTGTTACTTTGAAGTCTTGAAGAAAACATTGTTTTTCTCGCATGCCTCCACAGTGAATAGAGAATCCATAAAAGGCAAACATTCCTCATGAATTAAAGTAAACAGGGACCATGATTAACAACAGCAAAATTACATCAAAGCAGCCTTTTACAAACTCTCACACAACTCGTGCAGTATAATCCAAGTCTCATTTATCTGGTCACATGCTCAGTACTTCCCAAACACATGCATTTTGGCATTAACATTACTATCTAAAACAGGTGAGTACAGTCTCCGGCATGGCAAAGTAGTGTGCACAGCTACTAGTAGTCGGAAATGTTCTATATTGTAACGTTTAAGCGAAAATGCATGTTTGATAAGTACAGAGCTTCCAACTAGGTCTTGGAATTTGGATTATACTGCACGAGCTCTAAGTAATGAACCACAATTTCTACATGTCCCACGTAATGATGAGCCAGTAATTCCCGTGTAATTTGGAAGGCTGTGATCACGTGACCAATGCACTGACATGGGTAAAGAATAAAGTGGGATTCAGTCTCGGAAGGAGGGCGGCACAGTGATGCAGTGGTTAGCATTGTCACCTCACAGCAAGAGGGTTACTAGTTAAAACCAGGCACCATGTCAGTGTGGGTTTTTTCGAGGTACTCCAGCTTCCTCCCACAGCCCAAAGACATGCAGATTAATTGGTGACTCTAAATTGCCCGTAGGTGTGAATGTGAGCGTGAATGGTTGTCTGTCTCTGTGTGTCAGTCCTGTGATAGTCTGGTGACCTGTCCAGGGTGTACCCCGCCTCTCACCCAACGTCAGCTAGGGTAGGCTCCAGCTCCCCCGCGACCCCCAACAGGATAAACAGCTGAGGAAAAGTGCGGAGTGTCGTAAGGAGGTAGGCTGAGGTGTTGGTTGGATCACAAAGCACAGGACTTTCACCCAGGAGAGCAGTGTTCAGAACCAGTTTTAAGATATGTATTTACCATGTTTCCTTTCCTAAACCTAATGACAGAAACTTAACTTGCCTAAACCTAACCTCTGTAACTTAATCATAAGTGTGTAACTTTGCCTTAAGTATGTAATGTCATTCGTGGGGCGCCAGTTCGTAAGATATCATATGAACCATTGTATAAGGATACACCAGTGAGAGTTTGTAGAGAAATGTTTCATATAGTTTTGTTGTTGTTAAATCTTAAAGGATTTTCTCCACGTTTGAATACTTCGTTTACCATTTAGGCATGGTAAAAAAAAATACAACAAGTTTTCTTCACAAATTCAACATAACACACGGTGAGTAATTGACATACAAATGATAATTTTGCGGATTAAGTGTCCTTTTAAGTTTGAATGCTGAAAGAAATTCCTAATGTGAATGTGTGTGTTTATAAGTTTAAAGGTGTGTCACGTTGTAATAATACAGTTTGGTTAGTATGTGCATGAATGGGTAAGGATTGAAGCTGGCTCTGTATATTTATACAGATTTATGATTTAAAACATCTGTGCTTTGGCACCATCTGGTGGTTGTATGAGGAATAACAGTGTGGCAAACAGCAGTGCACATTTAACATGCTTGTTTATGCTCAGTTTTTGAGTACAAATGTACGTACAGTGTTTGAATGTGCCTGCTGAGGGTGTTTCATAGAATGAAACGCTGAAGCAGCCACCGCAGGAAGCAGCTGCGTTGCGTGCCAAAGGCGGCTTTGATGATGTTGACAATAAGGGTGAGGAAGAAGATGCCAGTGGTCAGATTGTTCAGGAAGTTTAACAACCTCTGATAAGAGGAGAGGAGGGTCAGCTCACAACGAGCTGCACACATACACATATATATGCACACACAGACAACAAGAATACACAGACAGAGACACACAGACACACACAGACACACACACACACACACACACACACACACACACACACACACACACACACACACACATTTGGTTGGTCCCTTGGCCCAGTCCATTCACACTGACCACAATCACATGAATACATCAGAGTACAGTAATACTGTAGTTGATTAGTACTTTAAGTACAATAAGTCGCACTCCTCCATGTGTGTGTGTGTGTGTGTGTGGTCCTATGTTAAATGTGTCTTTCCAAACTTCCCAAAATTTCGAATCATTTCCTACATCAGAGGGTCAGAAATGCATCCTGGCAAAGAGGCCGGTGCGCTCCATCCCAAAGACGGAGATGAAGATGTTGGTGACGAAGATGAGGAAGATGATGATGGTTGTGGTGTTGTTCAGGCTGTCCAGGCGCTTCTGGTTGGTCTCTTCGGTGACGTCTCGCCGAGCTGCAACAAGCACACACATGTACACACACACACCCAACATAACAAACTACACACAGAGGGAAGTATTCCAGTACATATATTTTACAGTCACGATCCTTGTACAAAGAATATTTGGTCGCTCTAAGAAAGTGACGGGGCTTCAACCTGCACTGCCTGTATTCTCACAACAAACCAATGTGTCAGTGTATTAGTATGTTAATATGATTGATTAAAAACATGGAGGATGGATTCCTGATTTCTGGTCTTTTAAGCCGAGTAATGCTGTAATGTGATTGGCTCACCAATGATGATGATCAGGACTCCAGCCACTATCTGCAGAGCCAGGGAGAAGGAGATGAGTGTCAGGACAGCAGCATAGTACCTGAGGAGGAGAGAGAAATGATGAGGTAACAGTACAGGTGATAATTCAGGAGCTGGAGCTCAGATAAAACTCCTCTCTCACACAGACTGTACCTGTATCCAGCTCCCTGTTCGATGACAGTCTTCATGTGTGTGATGTTAGCCAGGAACAGAGCGATGTCCAACATGCCCTCTGCTGCTGTCTTCTTTGTGGCGTAAAGGTTCATGTTCAGATTTGAGGCTGAACCTCCCTGAAAGAGAGAGATACAGATTTCACTCTCACTCTGTTACTCTCAGCGCCAAAGACAAGTGGGACCCCCCCCAAAAAATGTGAATGCAGAATAATGAAAGCACAGCCTCTTCATTATCTTTACTAACTACACCCATCCTGTCTGTATAATGATTTGTGTATTTGCCAAGGATGACTATTGTTGAAGAATGCACAATACCAGCACCAATACTAGAGCCCTTAAAGTGATACCAGTAGAGAACCTTATTTGATACCCATCATGTGAATGGAAGCACTCAGTAACCCACTTTAAAGGTCCAGTGTGTAGGAGTAAGTAGTATCTAGCGGTGAGGTTGCGGAACTGAAACTTCTTCCATGTGACAAGCATGTATAGGAGAACTATGGCGTCCAACACAAAAAAAGAAAAATTGCAAATGGCCCTATCTAGAGCCAGTGCTTGATTTGTCCGTTTTGGGCTACCGTAGAAACATGGCCGATTTTGTGGAAGGGGACCTGCTTCGCAAGTCAATATCAATGGCTCATTCTAAGGTGACAAAACACAATGATTTTTGGTAACGAAAACATAGGTATGAATATTATATCCTTTCTGCCAATAGATGCCACTGAATCCTACATACTGGACCTTTAATTTCTTTTAAACCTCGTTGCGTAGAACTGCCAACGCTGCTGCGGTCGTGGGGCAATCAAAAGTCCCAATAAATCGAAGAATGCTTGTGGTGGTTGGCTGTGAGCAAAATCATACAAAAGTCTTTCATTTTGCATCTGGGTTTCGATACTACTTGGTACTGAGTTTTTTTTGGTTGCGACATAGAAATATCTTTAAATGTGGGGCCGTCATGTACAAGTCAGCAATAATAATGTAACTTTAGCTTGCTAGTTGGCTACCAAGACATCGGCATACTGCCATTTTCTTTTTGTGACACAAGAGAATTACCATGACACATTGAAACGACATTAAACTGAGATAATATGATGGTTGTTATAATATTTAAATCTTTAATAAGAATTTGTTGGTGGCTTTTGTTACTTGTACAACCATCTTGCTGATGATTTTGCTGATGAATAGGCCTGTATCAACCCTGGTACCCCTATAAAGTGCCATCCACATAAATGAGGCTTAGTCCTTCGTGTGAGAAACCCCTGCAACTGTAACTCTCTGACATCCTGGCTGTCACTGCAGCTGCACGCTTCCTTAAAAAGACAAAAGGCAGAGGACAACAGAGGGAACAACAGAAGATGGATGAAGACAAATAGGAGACAGACAAGAACAAGTGCAAGAGAAAATCTCCAAGTTACTCTGCTGAAGTCTGGCCAGTAGAGGGCAGCAAAGACCATGAATACTGTCACAGACTGCTGTCAGAGAAAAAGCACGGTCTGTCTGATAAGATAAAGTGTGGTCATCGTTTTATTTATTTATCCTTGCAGCCGGATCCAAGCCAGAAAATGTGATAGAGTCACTGTCCTAGTCAACAAGATATTGATTTCATCTGACAGTACTTTTTGGGGATCTATCTCTCTTATCACTGAGTCATGGAGCTTTTTTCACAGCAGACATGGGAACAGCCCAGGTGAAACTGATAACATTAACGATGGCTGACTTCCATTAAGCTATTTCAGTTAGCCAGCAGCAATACCAGGCCCTAAATGAAGCTGTCATTAATTCTGTGCGGGGATCAGAGTCATCAGAGTATCCGAGTAGTACCAGGTGAGTTGATTGGCACAGCTGCTGCTGCTTTGTTCTGATTACATCTCTCCCTTTGTCATGTAGTAGTGTGCTGGCCATCGGAGGACTGCTGCCACTCACATTCACACCTACAGACAATTTAGAGTCACCAATTAACTTGCGTGTCTTCGGGCTGTGGGAGGAAGCCGGAGTACCCAGAGAAAACCCACAGACATGGGGAGGAGGAATTGCTTTTAGAATGATAATGAGTTTGTTGCACTTGAGGGATTTCAGAGTGTTCATATGTGTGCTCAGGTAAATATTCCAGTTTCCCCAAAACAGAGGCAACGTTGGCCAAAAAAGAGGTGGTGTGTGTGTGTGTTTGTGTGTGTGTGTGTGTGTGTGTGTGTGTGTGTGTGTGTCTGTGTGTGCCTCAAGTAGAAATCCTTTAACATCATTATACAAAGCCTTAATTCATGACTCATAGCACATGTCAGGGACTAACATTTTCGAGATCCAATTATTGCTCTGCCATAGTGCCTGGACTGCAGATGCACATATTGGATTACTTAACTCTGAGCTATAGATTAAAGCATTCTGTCCAGAAATGGATCACTTTACTCGAGGCTGTGTCAGTGCAGTTTGAATCAGTGCAGTCTGTTTTCTTAAGGCTCCACCAAAACAGAGATGTATTGAGGGAGGACATAGATCACATATGTAAAGCTAATCATGCGGACACTAGGGACATATTGTACTTTATGACCTCACTCCATTGTAATGTGCTGCACGGCTCCAAAATAAACACGCCGTTGACACCGTGCATGTACAGTAACCGGTAAACACTGCAGCTTCTCTGTGTGTGCTGCCTCTGGTTTTATGTGGTACAGTGATAAAGGGACAGTTCACCCCAAAATCGAAAATTCATACTTTTCGCCCTTACCTGTAGCGCTGTTTATCAGTTGGCCTAGGATGTTAAGTGTTGGAAATAACAGCTGTAGTGATGTCTGCCTTGAATATCCTTCTGAGACCCTGTTTCCTCATACGTGGACATCACATTTCGGGTTTACTTGACCTTATATTTCATCCTACTTAACTTAAACCTGTTGTCCTCATTTGTGGACACTTTATTGTGCCATCTAGTGGTAGTAAAGGCACAATACACTAATCTATGTAAAAACAAGATGGCAGCCATCTCTGCCAAGTCAGTCTGGAGCCGATCCTGACACAAAAATGGACAAGGTTCAAAACCTGATCACATTTTATGGTTGAAACTTGTTTATTCATTATTAATAACGGATTCTTGAGTAACTGGGTCATGATTTCTGGAAAGAGACATTATTTTCTGGTACTTTGAGCACCACAAGCCAAGTTACATCTAGTTGCATTATATTGGAGAGAAGGCAGACATCTCTAAGGCGATATCTCCAGTGCTCAGTAACTCACGCCAAATCAATCTACACTGATAAATAGCACTACAGGTAAGAAAAAAAAGTATTTTTGATTTTGGGGTGAACTTTAAGGGGCCTTTAAGTGACTTTTGCCTCTTTAAGTGTTTAGACGACACTTCATTTGACAGTTGCCTTGTGCGCACACTGGGAAGCACTGTAGTACTTACAGACAAGGCACATGTGCTCGGGGCTACACTGTGGTGCATGTAAACACAGTGTGGGCTGAGATCATGTGCCTTGGTTTCTCCCTTCTGCTCGGACAATGCTTGCTCTCGCAAACTTGCATGTAGCTAACCAACGGCAATAACCAACAGCACCACAAAACTACCGTACAGCTCAGCCAGTGTGTTTACATCCACTTCCCTCTCACCAGTAAGTACTGGCACAATTCCTTCCTTGGAAGCAGGCGTACTTTGCTCACAAATATTTTCCATACACAGAGTGTTCATATGAGGTCTATGGCTTATCATAACTCTGCCTTGATTTCTGGAACAAGATGTTTTCACATGTAGGTTTTGGACTCTTTAAGTGCCACAAAACCAAAACCACATAAACCCTCTGCACAGGAGGAAAAGTATGTTTAATTTTTGTATTTTTGGATAACCTGCACCTTGCATTTTATCCAAATGTTTACAAATCCCAGTGTTTAATTTGAAGTCTAAATAAGCATCCTTCTGTGGACAACAGTTTTACCTGTCGTGATGCTTCGATCCAGATCAAACTAGTACCCCTGTGATATATTTTTGTGCTGGAAATCTTGATTCCATCCCCCCATACAGCTTGTGTTACAGAACAGTTTGATCCAGGCTGGTTCAATCTCCCAGAAAGTATGAAGCAATTCCTAGAATTGCAAGACTGTCAAAACATTATGAACACGTGTACTGGTTTTTTTTTTGGTATGTTTTTTTTTATTGAGTGTGTATGAGAGACAGAGAGGGACGCGAGGAAGTGATATAAAAAAGACTCAGGGAGTGAGTGAGAGAAAAAGTATGTGTATAAATACTGGCCTGTTTCCATCTTTTCTCCTTTGGGGACTCGTGCGGTCACACTTTATCAACATCAGTGTTGGGCACGCCGCCAAAACACACACACATACACACACACACTCACACACCACAACCAAAACATTGGAATGCCCTACATACAGTTTTACGGGCCATATGTGTTCACTTAGTGTAATGTCTCTCTAAATGTACAGACTGTGCATTTATCATGCTAAATCTGAACTTATCTTGATTTATTAAGTTATTATTTTACCCTTTGTTTCACCGAACAGATAGGAGAGGAATAGATTCTTATTTACAGCAGAGGTGGTTGCAGGAGGTCAAAAGGGTTTCACACCATTATCCCCAGAAGCTGTGAATTACCAGTTGGCCTCGGTGCTGCTCCATCATGAACGTCCAGGGTCGACTGGCTGGCTCAGCGCTTGCTTTTGACAAATGAGAAAATGTTTCTTTCTCGTTTTCTTTGTGAGGACTCATTGGTTACATCTATTTTTCTGTAATAACTCAACACCTGTCTTCATTAGATGGGGTTAAACACATGAAGTAGCTACAGTGTATTAGTGTCTCAGTATTCTGGCCTTACTGGACATCATCCAGTCATGTGGTCTCATGCAGATTTGGAGGTTCCTCTCTTAGGACTGATACATAGCAGCAGCCCATAAAACTGCTATAAAACTTTAATTTCATTGCTCATTCCTTGAAGATTAAAAATAATTCACCCACCTAAGGTCAACCATGTGCACATCCAATAAAAGATGGATTGTGAATGAGAAACTGCTCCCCAGCACCTGCAAAGAATTTACAGATGTGCGTATGCACCATGCAATTGGTGGGAATAATGGACAATATATTATAGCCCGCTGTTTTTAAATTTGCCTCAGTCTCA